AACTCATTAGTTTTTGGAAAACTTCTGATCAAAAAATGAACAGCGAGAAACTCATCAACTTGACTAATATACAGTTTAAAAAATTCATCGAAGTTTCACTCTCTCCCAGACTTTGTATTTCAAATACATAAGACTACATGTTTCTAGTTACTTTCATTCTTGAGATATTCAAAAAGATATTGAGGTTCACTGTATGTTGACGCCGACAATAGATAGATGAATGATCAAATCTTTGTCTATGAAACATGAAAATATTTTTGATCAATCAACATCTTCACTATAAGTCGTGTATTTTTTTTTGCGTAAAATTTTCAGAACAATCTAACAAAGGTAGAAATTACTCATGAGCAATATTTCAGATCGCAGCTGTATGATTCAATTTTTGATTAGGTAGCTTGCTTGAGGTCGAATAGTGGGTAAAATGGTTATCACGTCTAAAGAATAAGGGTTTGAGAGTAAATCCTTGTGAACTTGTATTAGTCAATCGAACCCTGGGGTCGATAGAATTCGACATTTGGATACAATTTTTGATTAGCGTTAAATCTTTTTTAATTGTATGACTATAAAACAAGTAGAAACAAAATATTGGACTTGAATATCAATAAATCGAAAATGACTACCTCCTAAATGAGAAGTGACCGAAATTTCGTAGATAAGACTTTTGTAAGTTATTACAAAATAACATTAATATAGAATACATGTGAAGGTTGAAGCTAATATTATTAGAATATCCATATACATAGACATTTGAAAAATTGCAGAATCTAGAGATAATTATAGTATATAATTTCTATTGGAAAATTTTAAAATGACACTTTAATAATTTCATTTTTGTTTTAGTCTCAAATAAAATGTCGATTTTCGGATTCTTGTATTATTAATATTCATACACGTCGTCAATGTGTATCATGTCGATTAAAAAAATGTTTTGATATTAAAATGCGTAAAGAATGGATTCGTACTGAAGATGAAAAAAACTTAAGACGTTTACAAAAATTAGCAAAAGAAAAATTAAAAACAATTGATCTATCAAATGATCAAAAATCTCTTATTACATCTTCGATTGTTCGACGAAGAAAAAAAAGTTTAATAACAAAATCAACAAATCAAGAACTTGTTATTAGTCCAGTAAATATAGATAACTGAATAATAATCTTTATTTTTTCTTCTATTAGATTTATAGAATGTATCATTCTGGTTTTAATTCTATTCTATATGATGAAGATCGAACATTAATAAATAATATTAATAATGTTTATCAATTAGCAATAAATAAAAATGATTATTCTTATATTAATAAATATACATCATTAACATCTTTTTTACAATTTATAAATGATGAAAGTATTATGCATGAATCATTAGTAAATTTTTTTAAATTTATACCTGAATTTAAACAAATAGATATTAATGATAAAATATTATTGATTAAATCGAATTTTATTAATATTATACATTTACATCGTATGATAATATATAATTTTCAAGAATGTTCAAATCTTAATCAATGTATTTCTAAATGGATTGGTAAAGATTTTCATTATCAAATGATTCGAACTCGTCAATATTCTAATCGTTTTATGAATTATCCAATATTATTAAAACTTGCATTAGCTGTTTTTATCTTTAATGTTAATTTATCTGCATCATGGGATAGGAATCAATTTTATGAATATCAAAATCAAAAAATATTATTTGAATATCAAAATTATTATATAAATATTTTATGGCATTATTTAAATTATTTATTTGATGAAAAAGAAGCAATTAAAGCAATGGAAATAATAGTTATGCAAATTTTACGTTTTCAATCATTAATGGTTATAATAGAGAATTTTGTAAGACAATGTCCAGGTTATGAACAATTTCATTCATTAATGCAATCTATACTTGGACTTACTTAAAAGAAATATATCAATATTTTATTTGTTTAGATATATATATATATATATATCTACAATTAGTTGTATAATTGTCTAATGATAGATTTTGTTTCTTTTAATTATTATCATAGTGAAAAAGTTGCAACTGTTTGTCATGTGTTCATTTTTGTTTTTGACATAATAAATTGAAAAAAAAACTTTGAAGTAAAACAAAAACATATAGAAATTCTCAGAAAGAATACAATTCGTTTTAGATCTCTATCATTGCTTTATTAGGAAAGTTTTTTAATGTGATTATGTCTGTAGTTGATTGCATACGCATTGGACCTTCATACTTTGCGTGTTTTCTACTGAAGGAAAATTTGTATTTAGAAACTGATTCGAACTTTGTTAGAGGTGATACAGATATTTTTGAATCTTGAATTTGAGTTTTCTTTCATCTAGAAACTACTTATTCGACATATAATCCAAAGTTATTATTAATAGTAATGAAGATTTCGAAAATAAAAAGTCAGAAAATACTAGTTCAAACATATGAATGATATTTGATGATTGAATGTATACTATTTATTTTTCAATCTTTAATCTAACGTTCCATTTTCTTACTGAAAAAAATTCGAAAAAGGAATGTTTTGCAAACTTCATATTTGTTATGTAAAACAGAATTTATTATATGAAATCATGCATCATAAAGACAATTTTGACTTAGAACAGGCTCATAACAGTTTAGAAGAATAAAAAATGATATGCTACGACTGAACAAATCAACGTATTAACTTAGAGTTTCGTAGAATTCACATATATTTTCTTCAAAAATACATTGAGTAGAAGTTTAAATCAAGGTTTTTTTTTCAGCTTCTTATACCGCTCCTAGGTCTTAGCAACCGAGGAAAATGAAAGGAGGCGAACAATTACTAGGTACATATCAGAGATGGACAAAATCGCACCGCGCCGCTGCTCGCGCCTTGGCGCTACGCACATCTCTCTTTCTCTTTGCTCTACCAATCAGTTTCGCAAACTCCACCGAATACCGGGATGCTCTAAGCATGCGCTCATCGAAGCTCAGACTAGTGTAGCGTAGGCGTGAGCAACGGCGCGGGGAGGCACGGTGCGTCTTTGTCCATCTCTGGTACATATTCCCTAGTAATAGGAAAAAGCGTGAGTGTAATAACAGTGTTTTAGTCATTCTGGAACTTTCTAGAATCTTCCAAAACATTCTATGAATATGATATTTCCATTGTAAACGCTAACTAATCTAAATATTACAAGCTATGCAACGAAGGAATGTTAGTGAGGATGTCAATGAGTAAGACAATGGTAATATCAATCTAGCAGAGTCAGAATAGGACAGACAAAAAAAACCAATGAACTGACCAAATTATAAGTTTAGGCAAAACTCAACAATCTATACCAAAGTTCATCGAAAGAAAAGATTTCACAATGAACGTTTCGAAATAGTAGATAAAGTAATTTTTTAATCATGAGAGTTGAAAAAAATTTGTTCTAGAAAAAAACTATCGACTCGATCGGATATGAGGTTGATAAGAAAGGATCAATTTTAAATAAATATGTCAGAGTATGACCTTCTTATGAAAGAATACTGTCTTAAAAATAATGCTTTGATTATTGTTTAAATAATTCTTTCTATTCAATCATATCCATAAATCGAGATGTTAATAAGAACATTTAAACTTGTTCTCAAACGAATTTTATCAGAACAAAAAAACAAAAGGCATATCTATAAAATGTATTTCAACCATATCAAGTATAAGATCTATGAAAACAAAAATCTAATTAATATGTAGATTTTATTTAGAAAAATAAAAATGTTAGATTTGCTATATCATTATAATGAAGAATATCAAAACAATTATGAAAATAAAATAAGTATTATTGACGAATTTCATCTGTCCATTTGTAGGTGTTGTTGTTATTTCCTTAGGTTCTCCATTACAAAGATTAGTATTACAGCAACATGAATAATATGTAGTATTAATATTATTTGTACGCCATTCACATTTATTTTCTTTACATTAATCATTCTGTGCCCAATTTCGAGCATATATAGACTCACTAGTTTGATTATCTTTACTATATGTCTATAAAGAAGAACAAATTTTTTTTTTTTTTATATAAAAAATAATATTAAATTTTATATGAATTATTTACAAGGCACCAACCACTTATCGATGTTACTTGTTGAACAGTACTTGGGTTCCATGGTTTTGGACATGTTTCTTCATTACAACTGTAACATTTTATATTAGAACTATTTATTAGTAGGACATCTTTAAATGTTAAAAGAGAAAGTTTATACACTAATATGATTTTAACTTACTAGTAAAAAAGATGATAAAAATAAAAATGAGACGACACAAACAAAACATTTTTTCTAATTTATAATGAAATGCTCACTCAATTTTTGATAAATAAATTTATCTTACCTTTGTCAAATAATGTCTAGTGAGAAATGCATGAAAATACAAAAAAAAATAAACCACATATCTATAACAACTATTATCAGTATTTGCTATCAGAATGAAATAGTATATGCAGCTGATTATACTAAAAACTTTTTATTTATTGAAAGAACGCTATGTCACATTTCATAATACAACTGAGAATAATATTTATCTTTCTATGAATCATGAAGAATAAGGCAATCCTGGTTTATTTGCACTTTCAAATAAAAATCAAGTGAGAGCTTACAAATCTGAGATCAAATAGGACAAACATAAGTTCGATAACTAAACGTGTTTTATTCTTAAAATAAATAATTCGAAAGAATTCAAATTAATCGAGAAGAAAACAATTTCGAAATATATTTTACTAATAAAATTTTTTGCAGTACTTTCTATAATAGAAAAACTGGAACCGATTTAGGTTTTATGGTTAGTTAAAGAGGATTCTGATGACATATGAACATTTATCAAATTTCATCGAAATCAACAGAATTCTTTTAATTTTAATAAACTTCAAAAATCTTCACTCATGACACGATAATTATCACATAGGTATATTCATATTATGTAACCTACGAATTTCAAATAGTATTGAATATATCAACAATAGAATTTTCTTAGAATATAGTTAATCAAGAAGTACAGCGAATATATGATATTATATATTTTACAAATATAATACGACTTTGAACTTTGATTATCAAGAATCTATTTAAGATTCTCATCATGTATATTGTTTCTGATAGATTTAATATTTAGATATGTAAGTGTCAATATTCGTAAGTATACAGCATCATACATGTGCTGTAATTTTTGATTAACTATATATGTTAATGTAAAATATCTTTAAAAAAAATCATTCTAGAGAAACATTTGACAAGTATCGTTTCTTTGAAGTGTTTAATATATCAAAAAATCATTAGTATTATGTGTATGCTATAAAGGTTAAAAAGAATCACACTTTTTTGACCTATGACTAAAGTCATATAGTATTGTTCTTTTCATTTTTGTATGTATGTCTTGTTTACGCTTTTCTTCTCTGAATAGTTAATTTTATTTAATACAAATAAACTGATATTTACAAAACATAACAAAACTTGAATATACATAATATCAACATGAATAACGGAATATGCATCCTGTCTAATACTTTATACAATATCATGTAGTATTAAATTTCAATTAAATAAAAATAAGAAGATATTTTTTTGTTTAACGATGACAAAATTTTTCGTATACTCGAAATAGTATAGTGAATCATCTTCATTTCTCTTATTTTTAATGACTAATGATATTACTATTCGAATATTGAGTATCGATCAAATAATATAATTGTCTTGCTTTATTCTATATAACGTTGATTGTGCTTCATCACACACCTTTTAAGGTTTTCCTTGATGATTCATTCATTTACATTACTACTAACCAAACAAACAAACCGAGCAGCATTTCTTTTTTCTTCCTTGAGCATAAGCGACTCATGCTTGTTGAAAAATACGAGAATAAAAAAGTGTATTTTTTTTTGTTTCTTTTATATATGATTCTGTTAAAGTCTGTAAGGTAAAAAACCCTCTCAAAAAACGACGACGAGTGTTTTATTCCATCTTAGAGTCATATAGTGATACAATCACGTAAAAAAAAAAGTCGATGCTGATTTATTCGTAAGTTTGAATAAGATCACAACAATTTTGAAATAGAAAAAAAAAAATTTTTTTATACAATAAATACAACAATATAAAATATATTCTTGGATTTAAATATACAAACAAATTGTATAATAATTTTTCTAGAGAAATGACATTTTTGTGAAATATGAAGTAAAATTTTTTAATTTTATAGATATTGATAATAATGGCTATGATATCGACTAATCAATATCATATGTCATCATTTGATTTTGATGATTTATTTTTGTTTTCTGATGATTTTTATCATCAAAATGAATATGAACAATTTTGTACTTTACATGATGATTTAATTGAAGACAACACATCATTATCTAAGGTAAAACAATTTTTATCTATTATGAAATATTTTTATTTTTATTTTAATCATGTTTTTTTTTAGAATAATCAATATCAACAACAAACATTATTACATAATAATTCAATAAAAGAATCAAATTTAGAATGTCGTGTTTGTGGTGCTTCAGCACAAGGTTATAATTTTGATCAAATAACTTGTGAATCATGTAAAGCATTTTTTCGTCGAAATGCATTACGAGATATGGTAATAAATATCAAAATTTATTAAAATAGAACTCAAAAAATTTTAAAGATTCTATTCTAAATATTTGACTATAGAAGTATTGAATCTTAACTAATTCTTTGAAATATCTTTATTACAAATCATTAGATAAGATGCAAATATTCGAACGAGTATTAATTCTATATCAAAAATATACATGTAACTAGATACATTAGAATGAGTGGGAGCTTAGTATATTCATTATAGAATATTGTGAATCAATACAGAAATGGAAAGAAGATACTGACTTATTTTATGAGAAAATGTATTTAACTATCGAATGTAAATCAAAGTTCATAGTTTGTTGATAAG